AGGCTCCTCACGCGCAGGCTCAGCACTCCCAGACGCAGCACCTCCAGGCTCCTCACGCGTAAGCTCCGCACCCCCAGGCTCAGCACCCCCAAGCTCCCCACCCCCAGGCCCAGTACCCCCAACGACAGCACCACCTCCAGCAGGACCGGAGTCACCAGTGACCTCAACAGGTGCAGGCACGGGAGGGTCTACCTGAGAAACACCTGAGGGAGCAGGACCTGGCGCGGGGAGGGGGTATACCTGGGGAGAACCTGGAGCGAGGAAGAGCGGCGGGGGGGTGCGAGGAGAAGTACGGTAGGGAAAGAGACGGTAGAAGGGAACAGACTCGTCAAAGGTGACGTCCTGAGACGCAAAGACACGGCGCGAGGTGGGCTCGTAGAACTGCCAGCCAGGCGCGTCAGGAACAAAGCCAAGGAAAACACAGGGAATGGCACGAGCGGAGAGCTTGTCCGCAGTAGTATCGCGGACAAACGCACGAGCACCCCAGACCCGGAAACGCGACGCATCACCAACCTTCCCCGTCCACAGCAGTGTGGGCGAGGTCTCCAGCAAGGAGACACGGGGCCAGAGGTTGAGCTGATGCGCTGCGTACCGGACAGCAAACGGCCACAAAAAATGGGGAGCCGCCGCATGGATCATGGAGGTACGAGCGACCTCCACGACTAAGCCAATGCGGCGCTCAGCAACCCCATTCTGCTGTGGAGAGGCCGGAAGCGTGAACGACTGGGTGATGCCGTGCTCCGCACAGAAGGCTCGCAAGAGGTCGGAGGAGAACTCACCACCTCTGTCAGAGTGCAGACGCAAGACAGGAAAGTCCGACTGGAACCGCTCGCGGAGCTGGAGACGAGCAGCGCGGATCCAGGGGATCAAAACAGCAGGGACGTCCCCCTTGCTGCGCAAGGGGAAGACCGTGGTGTAGCGCGTGTAGTCGTCAACTACCAGCAGGAAGTACCGCTCACGGCCCTGTCCCTGGACGCGGGCCGGGCCCCACACGTCCAGGTGGAGAGTCTGCAGTGGAGCCTCTGTGGGAGGAAACGAGGAGGAGTGAGGAGCGGCGCGCTGCCGCCCCTCGACGCAGGGAATGCAGGGCGGCGCAGGCGAGGGAGGGAGGGCAGGGAGAGACCTGGGAAGGCCAGAGACCAGGCAACGAGAGTGCATGCTACGAAGGCGAGGCAGGGAGGGGTGACCAAGGCGGTGGTGCCACAGGAGAGTGTCGTGGGACAGGCGGCGGCACTCACACTGGGTAGCAACCTGAGCAGACGCGTACAGCTGTGGAGACAAAGGAGTGGAGCGTGAAACAGTGGTGAGGGTGTACAGACTGGACCCTGGCTCACGTGTGAACGTGGCCAGGTGGCGGCCGGTCTTGGAGCATGTACAGATCGCCACACGCTGTCCTCCAGGAGTCCAGGTGTCAACCCAGTGATCCTGAAGGACGGCGTTGCTCACCAGGTTCGTAGAGAACGAGGGAACATGGAGACCAGACAGCTCACCAGACAGGACCACTGGGCACGGAAGCACAGTCGCGGCCCGTGCAAGCACTGGACCCCCAGAGGGGTCAGCCAGTGAGACAGGAACAGGTGCAGGGAGAGGGGTGACAGTGGTGCTGTCGCGAAAGAAACAGCGCGAAGCACCAGAGTCAAGTGTGAACGTGTGCAAAGCCTGAGCGGACGCAGTACCAGGGAGCACAGACTCACTAGCACCTAGGGCTGCAGTCTCTATACCTGGGTCAGGCGGCACACACAAGTAACAGTCACCCTCAGCACTAACAGTCAATGCATACATAGCAGCAAGAATAGCATCATAGTCCAGATCAAAGATAGGAACACCACGCCTAAGCAGATCTGCCCAGTTGGGGAACTCAGTAGCATCAGGATACTTGGCGCGCCAGGCGTCACTAAGCCTAGCGAAGCAGCGGAACTCGGTGTGAAAACCGTCGCAGGTGCGACCCTGGCGGGGACCTGTGCGAATGACATAGGGGCAGCGGTCAGAGCCCCTAGACGCCCCACGCCCAGCATACCAGTCATGGAGCTGCTGGGAGGTGGGAGGCGGACGCTGCTGCTGCTGCTGCTGCTGCTGCTGCTGCTGGCCGCCCCCAGCGCCACCCTTCTGGCCAGATCCACCCCCACCCCCACCTCCACCACCAGTGCCGCTGCCTCCTCCCCCACCACCTCCGCTGCCGCCTCCACCGCCCCCGGTCCTGCCACCACCCCACCCCCCACCTCCACTCCCACAGCCACCCCCACCACCGCCGCCACCCCCGCCACCTCCACCACCGCCCCCACCGCCGCCACCTCCGCCACCCCTGCCCCCCTTGCCCCCCTTTCCTCCGCCGCGCTTCCCACCAAGAGTAGAAGCGGCGTGGACCTTCTCAGCGCCGAGAAGGTCAACAGCAGCAGCAGCAGAGGCATAGGAGGGGGTAAGAGGGGAGGGGGAGCATCCCTCAAAGAGGGGAGTGCGGGGAGTGCCACGAGCAGCATTCACAGCAAGAATGTTCTTCTCAGCTGCAACTAGCTGCTGCTCGAAGTCATCTAGGGTGATGGTGGGAGGATCTTTAGCGAGGAAATAGTCCCTAACGGAACGGAGCGTGTCGGGAAGGCGGGTGACTAGGATGTAGAGGGTAAAGTACAGGGGGGGTTTGTTCTCGGCGAGGAACTCGTCAGAGAGAGCGGCACGAAAGCGAGCGTCACTAGTGCGGAGGTGAGAGATGAGGTCTGCAGCAGTGGAAAACGAGGCGAGGTCGGGGAAAAGGTAGGGTAGGATGAGGCTACCAACGGCGGCAGTGGCTGGGGCGGAATAGCGGGCAACTACTGCGTCAAACAGTTCCTTAGCAGTCTTAAGCTGGTTGAAGTGTGCGCGCTCGGAGATAGGCAGGTGGTTGCGAATAGCTAGGCGGGCAAGGGCATCACGGGTCTGCCACTCAGTGCGGTCAGAGGCAGGAGCAGTAGCAGCGGGAGCAGGGGCAGTGCCATTGACATAGTCTAGCAGGGAGGCTCCGTCCTTGGTATTGGTCAAAAGGTAAAGCTGCAGGTCACTGAGCCAGGTGTCAAACTGAACAGGACTACCGTCAGCCTCAAACTCGAGAACAGAAATGGTTGCCATGGTCACAGGGCGGGTAAATGCAGCAGGCACAGGCTCAGGCTCAGGCTCAGGCGCAGGCAGCAGGCAAGCTCAGGCAGCAAGCTCAAGCAGCAGGCAAAGACTTTAGGGTAAGGCAGCAGGCAGGCGCAGGTGAGGCAATATGGTGGCGCCGGCAACTGATAGCAGGCTCAGGCAGCAGGTAAAGGCTGCAGACTCAGACAGGAGGCTTATGGAGCAGCTCTTAAGGCAGGCAGGCGCTCAAGGCAGGGCACAGGCAGGGCAGGGCACGCGCGGCTGCGAGCTGCGCGCGGGTTAGAAGAGCGCGGCGCGGGCTGCTCGGGCAGTGCGCGAGCCACGCGCGGGCTCTGCGGGCTGCGCGTGGGCTGCGCAGGCTCGGCGCGGGCTGCGCGAGCTCGACGCGGGCTGCGCGGGCGGTACGCGGGGCAGCTGCAGGCCGCGTGCGGGCTGCGCAGGCTCAGGGCGGGCTGCGCGGGCTCAGGGCGGGCTGCGCGGGCGTCTAGCAGGGCGGGACGCGGGTGGCAGCAGTAGCGCGCGCTAAAAAAAAGACTATGCGCGCGCTCAGCCGAGGCGCGCGCGGGTAGCAGGCAAGGCTAATAAGAAGTAGGTGGGGTAACACTGTAACCGGTGGGCCCAAATCTTAGGTCATAAGACCTATTGCTCTAGATACCATCTTAGAATCTTAGGCTAGGAAGAAGTGGATCGATTAGGTCAAGGGGGGGGTACAAGAGAGAATGTCGAGAGAATTTCTGTACCCCCTAGTGCTACCCCACTACAGCCTAGATAAAACTAACATGCATATATAGTTTGACATGAGGCAGCTTAGGGGGGCAGGAGGAAGGGGAGGAAGAGGGGCAGCGGCATCTTGAGACGCCTTGATACTCAGCATTGGAACATGCGTGTGGCCATGCCTTGAGCGGAATTAGGCAGCTCAGGGGCAGGAGGTGGGGGAGGGAGAGGGGCAGCTGGGTCTTGTGAAACCTGGAAGCTCAGCAGTAGAACATGCTTTTGAGAATTCTCAAAAGCGGCTCAGCAGAAGAACATGCGTGTGGGCATGCCCTTAGCCAGAGCAGGTATCTCAGGCGGGGGAGGGCCAGGGGAAGAGGGGGAGGGCGTGGGGCAGCAGGTTCTTGAGACGCCTTGACATTCAGCAGTAGAACATGCGTGTGGGCATGCCCTTAGCCAGAGCAGGCAGCTCAGGCACGGGCGGCGGGGGAGGGCGGGGGGCGGCGGGGTCCCTGTTGCGGCCGGCACTGGACTCGGAGGAGTGGTCTGTTCCATCATGGCCGTCGTGGTCCAGGTAGTTGCGGCAGTGTGTTGCTGCCAGGTGTGCGTAGAACACCGGTGCCACTGGAGGGGCATACGGGACACAGGGGCAGAGGGACAGAGAGATACAGTTGGCAGGGGAGCAGGGGATCATTGGTCCCTGTTGCGGCCGGCAGTAGACTCGGGGGAGATGTCAGTAGTGTCATAATTGTCGTTGAGGTAGTTGCGGCAGTGCGTTGCTGCTAGGTGCGCGTAGAAGACCGGCGCCACTGGGAGGGATGCAAGAAGGACAAGAGAGAAGGGGGGAAAAGGAGGCAGAAGGGTATTTTTGAGAATTCTCAAAAATACCCTTCAGCGGCACGGGTGTATACATGAGGCAGAGGAGAATTCTCGGGCGGCACGGTTGAAGTAGCCTCGGGCAACAGTGGACTGGGAGGAGAGGACACTGGCGCCAGTGTCTAAGTAACTGCAGCAGTGCGTTGCTGCATGAGTTTACAAGCGTGCATCACAAAGGGTATACCCATATACCCGCAGAGATGGGTAGACGGCAAGATGTTTGGAAGTGGCATACTTGTAAATTTCAGGTTTGGTACATAAATCTATACATAACGGAGTGATTTGTAAGTTGTTTGGCGTGGTTACATGTTGCGAAGGGGCTGTAACATGTTGTGAAGGGGCTGTAACATGTTGTGAAGGGGCTGTAACATGTTGCGAAGGGGCTGTAACATGTTGTGAAGGGGCTGTAACATGTTGTGAAGGGGCTGTAACATGTTGTGAAGGGGCTGTAACATGTTGTGAAGGGGCTGTAACATGTTGTGAAGGGGCTGTAACATGTTGTGAAGGGGCTGTAACATGTTGTGAAGGGGCTGTAACATGTTGTGAAGGGGCTGTAACACGTTGTGAAGGGGCTGTAACACGTTGTGAAGGGGCTGTAACACGTTGTGAAGGGGCTGTAACACGTTGTGAAGGGGCTGTAACATGTTGTGAAGGGGCTGTAACACGTTGTGAAGGGGCTGTAACATGTTGTGAAGGGGCTGTAACACGTTGTGAAGGGGCTGTAACATGTTGTGAAGGGGCTGTAACATGTTGTGAAGGGGCTGTAACATGTTGTGAAGGGGCTGTAACATGTTGTGAAGGGGCTGTAACATGTTGTGAAGGGGCTGTAACACGTTGTGAAGGGGCTGTAACATGTTGTGAAGGGGCTGTAACACGTTGTGAAGGGGCTGTAACATGTTGTGAAGGGGCTGTAACACGTTGTGAAGGGGCTGTAACACGTTGTGAAGGGGCTGTAACATGTTGTGAAGGGGCTGTAACACGTTGTGAAGGGGCTGTAACATGTTGTGAAGGGGCTGTAACATGTTGTGAAGGGGCTGTAACACGTTGTGAAGGGGCTGTAACATGTTGTGAAGGGGCTGTAACATGTTGTGAAGGGGCTGTAACACGTTGTGAAGGGGCTGTAACACGTTGTGAAGGGGCTGTAATATGTTGTGAAGGGGCTGTAACATGTTGTGAAGGGGCTGTAACATGTTGTGAAGGGGCTGTAACATGTTGTGAAGGGGCTGTAACACGTTGTGAAGGGGCTGTAACATGTTGTGAAGGGGCTGTAACATGTTGTGAAGGGGCTGTAACACGTTGTGAAGGGGCTGTAACCTGTTGTGAAGGGGCTGTAACACGTTGTGAAGGGGCTGTAACACGTTGTGAAGGGGCTGTAACACGTTGTGAAGGGGCTGTAACACGTTGTGAAGGGGCTGTAACACGTTGTGAAGGGGCTGTAACATGTTGTGAAGGGGCTGTAACATGTTGTGAAGGGGCTGTAACATGTTGTGAAGGGGCTGTAACATGTTGTGAAGGGGCTGTAACATGTTGTGAAGGGGCTGTAACATGTTGTGAAGGGGCTGTAACATGTTGTGAAGGGGCTGTAACATGTTGTGAAGGGGCTGTAACATGTTGTGAAGGGGCTGTAACATGTTGTGAAGGGGCTGTAACATGTTGTGAAGGGGCTGTAACATGTTGTGAAGGGGCTGTAACATGTTGTGAAGGGGCTGTAGGGAGAGGGAGGGCGTACCAGTGGAGACGGCTCGAGTGCACCTCCCGTAACTGCCATGAGGGAAAGACAAGAATGCGTCAAGAAAATGAGATGCTGGGTAGAAACAAGCACATGAATGACATAATTGAAGCAATCAGACATTAACGTGCAATAGCATGCAATTGACGGTGCTACATAAATCTGAAACAAGGCACCAAAGGCAGAATGCTGAGCTCACAAGGCGGAATGCTGAGCTCACAAGGCGGAATGCTGAGCTCACAAGGCGGAATGCTGAGCTCACAAGGCGGAATGCTGAGCTCACAAGGCGGAATGCTGAGCTCACAAGGCGGAATGCTGAGCTCACAAGGCGGAATGCTGAGCTCACAAGGCGGAATGCTGAGCTCACTTGTACCAGAGGGAGTGCGTGAGGAGCTGCATCTCATCCGCTGTAAAACCATTCTCAGCGTGGTGCTACCGTGGTAGAAACATATTTTGCAGACGGGTAATTAAGTTCTCTAACCTTGTTTGCCTAGAACCACAGTCGCTGACACATAAAGCCACGGCACCAAAGTGATGTTTAGTGTTCACTGGGACTCACTTGTAGCAGAGGGAGTGTGTGAGGTGTTGAATCTCGTCTGCTGTGAATCCATTCTCATCGTGCAACACGTGGTAGTGCACTGGCCGACTGGTGCCCTGTAGGGGGGGAACACATTCACATAGAGGGGGGGGAACACATGAATGCACTCATGAATGCTGGATCTCGTCTGCTGTGAACCCATTCTCATCATGCAACACGTGGTAGTGCACTGGCCTGCTCGTGCCCTGTTGGAGGTGAAATGAAATACAAATGCTGGTTGACCGGTGGGGGAGGATGAACGTTAAGGGATGAACTTAAAGGGATGAGCCTGTTCGTGAGGTGCTGGATCTCGTCTGCTGTGAACCCGTTCTCATCATACAGCACGTGGTAGTGCACTGGCCTGCTCGTGCCCTGTTGGGAAAAAAGACATTCAGATAGAGGGATGGATAGGTGTATGGATGTCGGGAAAAGAGCAAATACAACGAACCCATTCTCATCATGCAACACGTGGCAGTGCACTGGCGTGCTCGTGCCCTGTTGGGGGGAACACATGCACACGGAGGGATACATAGGTGTGTGGATGCTGAGGAATGAACTCATGCACCTTCTCATCGTGAAGTGAGCCCATTCTCATCATGCAACACGTGGCAGTGCACTGGCCTGCTCGTGCCCTGTTCGGGGGAACAGGCGTATAAATGCAGAGGAATGAAGGTGTATGGATTGCAGCTGCGTGAGTACCGTGTGAGTGATCATGCAACACGTATTCGAGCAGCCCCTTACTGCACTGCGTACATACCAGCAGCCCCTAGTGTGAGATCATGCAGAAGTCGAAGAAGAAAGGGTGCGTCACATCCCTGTCCACAATGGTCCCCGGTCCGCCAGGCTGTATGTATGTACAATTCAATTTCACCATCATGAGCCACCTGACTCAGACACGGCACGTACCAGCAGGCTCTTGTGCGAAACCATGTAGAAATCGAAGAAGAAAGGGTGGGTGACATCGCGGTCCACAATGGTCCCCGGCTGCACGTTGAAGCCGCCCTGGCACGGCAGGAAGCGGGCGGGAAGAGTCGCCCACCTTCTGAGGTGCCTTGCATTGTGTGCTACAGGCTTACCAGCAGCCCCTTGTGCGAGACCATGTAGAAATCGAAGAAGAAAGGATGGGTCACATCGCGGTCCACGATGGTCCCCGGCTGCACGTTGAAGCCGCCCTGGGACGGCAGGAAGCGCACGTTGTTGCGCTTCTGTGCCACGATGTAGGTGATGGGGGGGCGGAAGGACGGCTCCCCCATCTTCTTGCCCATGAACTCAAATGCCTGGGAGGGGAAGGGGGAAGGGAGAAGGGGAAGAGATGGGTGAGAAAGAAGCGCATGTTGTTGCGCTTCTGTGCCACAATGTAGGTGATGGGGGGGCGGAAGGACGGCTGCCCTGCCTTGCCCACCAGCTCGAACGCCCGGCAGTGGAGAGAAGGCGGAAGGGAAGGAGAAAGGGGGAAGGGGTAAGGGGGAGTGACAGGTGGGAAGGAAGCGCACGTTGTTGCATCCCTCCCTCTCCCTCCCGACATCCACTCATCTGCATCCCTCGCTCTCCCTCCCTTCATCCACCCATCCGCATCCCTCCTCACCTTGCGGAACGCTTGCAGCTCTGCCGCGCCCACCGATGGAAACTGCGACTCGCTGATGCCGTCCCTGTGAGGAGAGGCGAGCAGGCAGGAGAGCAGCAGAGATGCAGGAGAGCAGTAGAGATGCAGGAGGGCAGCAGAGATGCAGGAGGGCAGCAGAGATGCAGGAGGGCAGCAGAGATGCAGTGATAGAATTGGAGCTGAACTGACTGATTAGAATAGAAGGCACTAGGCCTTAAGTACAAACAAGGTTGGGTTGGGCAAGGCTAGGAAAAGGATGGGATGGAAATCCAAGCAAATCTTGAAACATGTTGCGCTGGGGATGGGATGGGATGCGCTGGGGCCCACACTTGTTGGCGTTACCAGAGATCGAAGCACTTGAAACATGCACATACCCAGACTGCCCTGCCCTGCTTGTGCATGTTAACTCACCGGTACACGATGATGCGCTGGGGCCCACACTTGTTGGCGTTGCCGAAATCGTTCATCAGCTCACTGCACCGTGTTGGATGCACACGGAGAGACAGAGGGCGGGATGTAAGGGCGGGAGGAGGGCGAGGAGGGGGGAAACAGGGACCGAGAAGGGAGAGAGGAGAAATAAAAGGAGGCACACAATGATACGCCTGAGCCCCATGTTGTTGGCATTGCCAAAATCGTTCATCAGCTCAATGCACTGTGTTGGATGCACACGGAGACAGAGAGCAGGGTATGGGGGCGGGAGGAGGGCGAGGAGAGGGGGAAGAACTCTTGAGACATCTCCAGAATCGTTCATCAACTCACTGGACCGCACTGGATACACAAACAGACAGAGAGCATAATTGGGGGCGAGAGAAGGGCGAGCAGGGGAAGGGACAGCGGGCAAGGGAGAGATTAGGGTGAAAAGGTGGAAGGAGGGAGAGGGGAAGGACCAGGGAGAGAGAGTACGGGGAGAGGAGGGTGAGAGGAGGACAATTAGAGAGCAAGAGGAGGGTGGGAGAAGGGCGAGAGGAGGCCTACAGAAGGGCGAGAGGAGGGCGAGAAGAGCGCGAGAAGGGGCGAGAAGAGCGCGAGAAGGGGCGAGAAGAGCGCGAGAAGGGGCGAGAGGAGGGCAACAGGAGGGATGGATGCATAAATGGTCAAGCCTTTTCCTTCTTCTTTCAAAATTTCTTTTTTCTTTTCTCTTTTTACTTTCCTCCTCCGGAATTTAGACAACGAACAAAGACAGTGGGACAGCAAAAAGCTTCCAGGAAAACAACCACAACATGCTACGCACCAAAGCATGCCGCCAGTGGCAATCTCTGAATCAAAGAGCCCAAGTATGGTCTCCTGCCTCCTGTGCTGTGCGCGTGCCCGCACGGCGTACTTGCTGGCATGAGGGTCCATGGTTGCAACCACCTGGTGAGGGGATATGGGGGGAGATCGGGGTTTCGGTGGCTTTAAATGCTGCTCAGAAGGCACCAAAAATGGTCTCCTGCCTTCTGTGCTGTGCGCGCGCCCGCACGGCGAACCTGCAGCCATGATGGTCCGTGGTTGCAACCACCTGGTTGAGGGGATGTGGGAGTTTAGGCGGACTTCAGATTACACATAAAAGACACTGTATGCATACATGCATGCATGCGTGTATGCACTGATAGCTGCATGTATGTGTGCATGCGTTGCTATGCACTCACTGCAGAGACAAGGGGAGCGAGGCTGCCCGGAGCGCCATGCAGGCCGGGCCGAACCATAGATGCTGCCATCCTTTGATGCTGCCACATCAGCGATGGACGGACGTGACGTGACGAGCGCATGCATGCACGCATGCACTCACAGCAGCGATGGAGGGAGCGCGGCTGCCCGGGGCACCGTGGGAGACGTCGATGCTTCTCATTCATGAGAAATGCACTGATGACAGCTGCATGCATGCCTGCATGGATGTATGGATGAATGTGTGCCTGTACGCGCGCGCACTCACAGCAGCGATGGACGGCGCGCATGGACCTTTCGATTGTGTCTTTCAGTATGTGATGTGACGAGTGCATGCATGAAACATGTGTGCGCTTACAGCAGCAATGGAGGGAGAGCGGTTGCATGGAGCGCCGTGGGAGACGTCGAGGCCAAAGATCATTGTGGGCTTCCCGGCGAGCATGGTGGATGCCATGATTGTATCTATTCGCATGTGACAAGTGCATGCATTGATACATCCTTGTGTGCGCTCACAGCAGCGATGGAGGGAGCGCGGCTGCCCGGAGCGCCGTGGGAGACGTCGAGGCCAAAGATCATTGTGGGCTTCCCAGCGAGCGCACGCATGGACTTCCTGACGGTGTCTGTGAGCACCCAGTTCACGCCCCTCATCTGATGGCGGGTCGGAATGATGGGACGAGAAGGAAGCACAGAGTTGGAGACAAACAAGACATGCCAAGGTCAAAGCTCATGGTGGGCTTCTCAGCAAGGGCACGCATGGATCCCCTGATGATGGTGTCTGTGAGCACCCAGGGATCTGTGCTCATGGTAGAGAGACGACTTTTGAGGCGCCTCAAAAGTCATGGATCCCCTGATGATGATGGTGTCTATCTGTCTGTGAGCACCCAGTTGACGCCCCTCATTTGGCATGCGAGTGGTGTGATGATGCATGGGAAGGGAGGAGAAAGAACCACATGGTGAGGGGAACATGAGACATGCCGAGGCAGAGCCTTCTCATCGGCGGTCCGTATGGATCCTCTGATGGTGTCTGTCTGTCTGTGAGCACCCGGTTGACGCCACGCCCCTCATCTGAGATGCAAGTGGTGTGACGCATGGGAAAGGAGGAGAAAGAACCACGTGGGGAACATGAGACATGACGAAGCAGAGCCTTCTCAGCGAGGGTCCGTATGGATCCCCTGATGGTGTCTGTCTGTCTGTGAGCACCCGGTTGACGCCACGCCCCTCATCTGATGGTGGGTTGGGCCAAATGAAGTGCAGGGTAAGAGACAAGCAAGACAAGTCAATTTAAGGCAGCATGGCATCGTTGGCTTCTCACTGAGGGCCCGCATGGATGCTCTGATGGCATCTGTCAGCACCCAGTTGACTTGACGCTGCTCATCTGATGTTGAGTTGCCACGATGGGATGGATTGGGACTTTGGGAAAAAGGTTCGAGTTCGACTCATCGAGTTCCGTTTGACGTTGACACATGTTCAAACTGGTTTGACTCAAACATGTATGAGTTTCACCATTGCTCATGTCTTCTGCCACCTTCAGCACATGCCGCCACCTTCAACACATGCCGCCACCTTCATCAGCACATAGCCCTCTCCCACTCCTTTTTGTCACCAACCTTCATGTCCATTTAGAAAGCCATGTTGAAAACCGCATAAAAGCACATGTTTCCACCTTAAAGCCCATTTCAAGGCTCACGTCCCTACCTTTAAGATGGAAACATGTGCTTTAACGCTGTTCATCTTCAGTACCCATGTACCCACCTTCATGTTCATTTTGAGCGCCACGTTGGTGAGGTACTGATCGTTAAAGCCCTTGCCCTTCCTTTTTTCGACTTAAAGCCCACCATGAAGCCCATGTGCCCACCTTCATGTTCATCTTGGGCGCAACATTCGAGGCACTGGTCGTTAAAGCCCTTCACCTTCCTTTTTTCGACTTAAAGCCCACATTGAAGCCCATGTGCCCACCTTCAAGTTCATCTTGAGCGCCACATTTGTAAGGTACTGGTCGTTAAAGCCCTTGGGCGGCTGCACGATGCACTGCGTGGGCACGCCTATGCGCGTGTCACACAGCTTCTTGATGGGCGCTGCAGGGGAGAGGGAGTTGACATGGTCGATAGCAGCACAGAGGGATAGAGAAGGGTAGGGAGGGGTGGGATGGGGAACATGTCACTGAAGCCCTTACCAGGCGGCTGCACAATGCACTACGTTGGCATGCCAATGCGCATGTCACACAGCTTCTTGATGGACGCTGCACGGGTGGGGAGAGAAACCAGGTAGAGAGGGGTTGAGAGGGGTGCTGGTCGCCGAAGCCCTTGCCCGCTTACACGATGCACTGCGCGTGCCACAGCTTATAAATGGGCTCTGCAGGGGAGGGAGAGGAGAAGCACACCTCATGGTAGAGATGGGTACAGAGGGGCAGAGAGGGGTACTGTTTGTTGAAGCCCTTTCCCACTGCATTGTGTGGCGCACTGTTGGGGAGGAGCAGAGAAATCAGAAAGGCAGAAGATATTCTTTGGCTTGCATGCGTTCGGCGATGCTCATTGTGTACATGCATCATGGTGTCACTCCTTTCCTGAACACCATGACGTGCTCCCATGCATACGTGCATAGCTTCTAAATGCGCGGTGCAGGAGATGAAGATGAAGTGGTGGGGGTGGTCGTGTGGTGGCACACATTGATTGGCATTGATACACATACAGCGCGTGCTCTCACTGTAAGGAGGAGCTTCAGCCTGAAACTCTGAGGATGTGAGGAGGAGAAGGTGAGGGGAGGAGGAGGAGCACAACAACTGGAGATCATGTACCATACATACAGCAGGCTGGACTTTCAGGCTTTCAAGATCCAGATGAAAGCAGGCTTGAATGAATCGCTCGATAACCCGCTGCACCAGCGCCAGGAGCTGTGCTGACCGAGAGACCTCTACAACAGACAACTGGCATCTGCACATACCATACAGCGGGCTGGTCTTTCGAGCATCCAGAATCCAGAGAATGAAAGCAGGTTTGATTGAATCCGTTCAACAAGCGTTCAATAACCCGCTGCACCAGCGCCGGCGACTGTGCTGACCGCAAGACCACACAACGGGCTTGTCTTTCAGGCTTCCAGGATCCAGAGAATGAGATCGGGCTTCTTGAGTTTCAGACTTTTTGGTCAACTTGAAATTTAGCTTCTTACTAACTGGCATACACATAAAAATCCCCACATACCGTACAGCGGGCTGGTCTTGCGGGCATCCAGGATCCAGACAATGAAAGCAGGCTCAGATTTCTTGAGGCGCTCGATAGCCCGCTCCACCAGCTTCTCTGGCGGTGCTGACCGCGTGTCCTCCACAATTACCACTGGAGAGGTGCTGCTGATGACCTGAGAGGGGGATGAGGAGGGTGGCTGAGTGTGTGTCCTCTTATCTGTTTCCTCCTCTTCTTATCTGTGTCCTCCACAATCACCACTGGAGAGGCGCTGCTGACGACCTGAGAGCGGGATGAGGAGGGTGGAGTGAGGTGGAATGGAAGTGGAAGGTGGCTTGAGTAAATGCGTGTGGTGCCTCGAAGATACACGCGTGTCCTACACAACCACCACTGGAGCGATGCTGCTGATAACCTCAGAGGGGGATGAGGAGGGTGGTTGAGTGTGTGTCCTCTTATCCGTGTCCTCTACAATCACCTCTGGGCGGTTGTTGATGACCTGAGGGGGGGAGTAGCAGGGTGGTTGAGTGTGTGTCCTCTTATCCGTGTCCTCTACAATCACCTCTGGGCGGTTGTTGATGACCTGAGGGGGGGAGTAGCAGGGTGGTTGAGTGTGTGTCCTCTTATCCGTGTCCTCTACAATCACCTCTGGGCGGTTGTTGATGACCTGAGGGGGGGAGTAGCAGGGTGGTTGAGAGTGAGTGGCCTTATCCCTGTCCTCCTCTCCTCAAGCATCTCTGGGCGGCTGTTGATCACCACAGAGGGTAGGTGGTGGTGCAATGAGGTGGGTGCAATGAGGTGGGTGCAATGAGGTGGAAGTTAGGTTGATGGTGCTCAGAGCAGAGCATGATAGATGCGACCACAAATTGAGGAACAACTGAGAATCCTGGAAAAAAACGATTGGAAGGTGGTGTTAAAAAAGACAAAACAAGAATAAGAACAAATACAAGCAAACAAATAAGCCAATAAGAAGATTAAATGTTTAAACCAATACCAGCTGAGAGAGATCGTGCATCAGGAGACGTCGATTGGTGGCTCGGGTCCGGAGAAGCTAAAATGGTTGAGTCGACCCCGAAGGACCCCCGGGGTCGTCAAAATGGTTGAGTCGAGCCCGGGGTTTAGTGCAGTTAAATTGTTTTCAGAAACAAGTCTATTGCAGTACACTCACCAGCCCTTTCCGCCCGCAGCAGTCCCTGAGAGCAGTTGCCACCTGCATGGGGTCCCTCACGCGGTGGTCGAAGCACACCACCGCCCACGACTTGATTTCGGCCGGCGCAAACATGCGCTGCATACGGCAAGGGCGGGGCGAGAGAGAGAGATAGAGGACAATAGAGATGGAGGGTGGGTGCGAACGTTGTTCAGGAACACTTGTTATAGTGGGTCCCTCATTCACGCGGTGGTCGAAGCATACCACCGCCCATGACTTGATTTTGGTCGACTCAAACATGCGCTGCACACGGCAAGGGCGAGTGAGGGAGGAGGTCAGGAGGGGCAGGGGTTTGGTTGAGGGTTGAGTGAGGCGATTTTTGAGGCGCCTCAAAAAGGGTTTGGTTGAGGGTTGAGTGAGCAGCACTTGTTGCAAGGGGGCTCTTGCCTCTACCGAGGTGGTCGAAGCACAGCACTGCCCACGTGCTGCCTTTTGAGTCGACTCAAACATGCGCTGCACACGGCAAGGGCGGGAAAGAGGGAGGACACGAGGAGACGGGGGGCTGACTTGAGCATAGATGAGGTCCTCGTTGGATTTATCATGAGGAGAGGAGCACAAGTTGTATGGGGTGTCCATCGTGGTGGGTGGTCGAAGCACACTACTGCGCAGGTGGCGGGGTGTTGATGGTCACGAGGGAGACACGAGAGGACGGAGGGGTTGTTTTGGGGGGTTAAACACTCGCACGGGATGAGCAAGGGGCGAACACGAACGTGTTCGTGTTCGCCCCTGCACGAACATTGCCGTTTGCCGAACCGAACAGTGTTCGGTTCGGCGAACACTTTGAGCAAAAACAGGTGTTCGCCGTTCGCCTGTGAAGGCGTGTTCGGGCGAACCTCGAACACGTTCGTGTTCGTCGCGGGGCAAATTGCAGCAGCGGCCCGAACACGAACGTGTTCGGGCGAACATCGAACACTGTTCGGCGAACACTTTAAGCCAACAAAAAAAAAATACTTGTTCGGTTCGCCTCGAACGAACAGGTGTTCGTTTTTTTGCTCAACCCTACTCGCACGCATGCGCTGGGGAGGGGAAGAGGGATTGAGGAGGGGGATAGGAAGGATGGTAAGGTGTTGAAAAGGAGGCAATGAGGGGAGGAGGCGTAAAGCACACATGGTAGTGACGGTGACCTTATGGCCCTTAGGAGCCCCTGGCGATGTGGAGTATTTTTGAGAATTCTCAGAAATACTCCACATGGTGGAGACCTTATGGCCCTTAGGAGCCCCTAGAATTTCACCTGCTTATTCATAATCAACTGCCTCTCTCGACCGATTTATATCGCCTCTCATCAGCTTGGTTATGTTCCACTGCCACTCGCATGACAATTCACACTCCTTCGACTGCCCCTCACCTGCTGGTTCATGTTCCACTGCCCATCCCGAGGCTGCATGGTGCCCCCGCCGAACTGCAGCTGCAATGGGAACAGCGAGAGCAGGGAAAGCAGGGAAAGCAGGGAGAGCAGGGAGAGCAGGGAGAGCAGGGAGAGGCGAAACGAGGAATGAGCATGGAGAAGGTTGAGTCGATTAATAACACCACAGCGTATCAAGGCTGCATGGTGCCCCCGCCGAACTGCAGCTGCGATGGGAACAGCGAGAGCAGGGAAAGCAGGGAAAGCAACGAGAGACCAAGCAAGCTACAAGCGTGGAAGACGTTGAGTCGATTAACAAAACCACAGCGTCTCGAGGCTGCATAGTGCCCCCACCGAACTGCAGCTGCGATAGGAACAGCGAGAGCAGAGATGGGAACAGACAAAGCAGGGAGTTGGACATGAGAGCACGAATGCTGTTCTCGAGGCGACTAAAAAAGTGCCTCACCTCATGCTTACAGCATTACCACCATGCTTACAGCATTACCACCATGCTTACAGCATTACCACCATGCTTACAGCATTACCACCATGCTTACAGCATTACCACCATGCTTACAGCATTACCACCATGCTTACAGCATTACCACCATGCTTACAGCATTACCACCATGCTTACAGCATTACCACCATGCTTACAGCATTACCACCATGCTTACAGCATTACCACCATGCTTACAGCATTACCACCATGCTTACAGCATTACCACCATGCTTACAGCATTACCACCATGCTTACAGCATTACCACCATGCTTTCAGCATAACCACCATGCTTACAGCATTACCACCATGCTTACAGCATTACCACCATGCTTACAGCATTACCACCATGCTTACAGCATTACCACCATGCTTACAGCATTACCACCATGCTTACAGCATTACCACCATGCTTACAGCATTACCACCATGCTTACAGCATTACCACCATGCTTACAGCATTACCACCATGCTTACAGCATTACCACCATGCTTACAGCATTACCACCATGCTTACAGCATTACCACCATGCTTACAGCATTACCACCTAAGTGAACATAGACGCATCCAATACGCTAGCTTCCAGACGCTAGCATATATATGCAGGACGCTCTGATTTCCAGGCCCAGACGCTAGATGTACGCTTGGCTCGAGCAGGCAACAAATATCTCCCGGGCATAAAAATGGGGGGGGAGGAGGGCAAAAGGGGGGTAGGGTATATGTGGTGAAATACCACACAAATCCAGATTGAATTCAGAATACTAGAAGGGCAAAAGGGGGGAAGGGTATATGTGGTGAAATACCACACAAATACCATAAGGGCAAAAGGGGGGTAGGGTATTGTGAGCTCCCTCACACAACCAATCCTGACACACACACCGTAACCCATCTACTAATACTCATAAGCAAGCACCCAGATAATCTCCTCCTCTTCGTCCTCGCCCTTCTTTGGGACAAAACAATTTCGAAATGGGTACGTTTCAAAAACTCTTTATCACGTCGCCAAGAAGTCCATATGTGCAGCTGCACTGCCGAAAGAGGCACTTGCACAACTTTTCCAGTGGTGTCCAAGCGTGATAAGAGTGTGGCGAGTTAGATGAGGCCGAGCAGGAGCTTGACAGCGATAAGCCGCACATGCGAGTGCATCATGAGCATTTTTTTGATGGCCTCGAGTTTGACTGTGAGAACTTGAACATGTGGTGCCTCTGTCATCCACACGAACTGTCTAACAGAGGCCTTTGTATGGGTGACAGAAGCCCCACATGGTCAGGACAGGACCTCACTGTCAAACTCGAGGTCATCAAGGAAATGCGCATGATGTACTCGCATGTGCGGCTTATCGCTGTCAAGTTCCTGCTTGGCCTCTGCTACTCGCCACACGCTTATCACGACTGGAGACTATATTGTCTGGAGAGGCGCAGTGTCGGAACATTGTTTAGGTGAGTTTTGAGTCCACTCAAAATACTTTTGAGTTGACTCAAAAGACTGCCTAATGTGATGTGATGGGATGGAAGAGAGGCGCACAGTGGGAGCATTCTCCTCTGCCTTTTTCCCATCGGCCTGAATCAACCAGGGCTGTTTGTGACTATGTTGCAAAAGACGCAGGGCGCGTCATGTGTCCTGCGTCTGGACGCAGCGTCCGAACGCAAGGACGCAGGACGCACGTCGTTTTTTTTTTTTTTTTTTTTTTTTTTTTTTTTTTTTTTTTTGTCGGTGAAGTTGACATTCGCGATTTCGACACAACTGTCGCTCTAAACCCGAAACCCTATAGCTACCTTTCGCTCCATAGAGCTACCTTTTTGCCTCACATGTGTGATACGTTGTCCTCCCCCCCCTTCCCATGCCCTATAACGTGTTTTTTTGGCTGCCCGGACGTTTTTTTTGCCCTGCCCGAAAGGGGTGAGCAAAGAAACGAACACCTGTTCGGTTCGCCTCGAACACGTTCGAGGCGAACCGAACAGGTCCAGTTTTCCAGCTTAAATTGTTCGCCCAAACGTGTTCGAGGTTCGCCCGAACACGCATTCACAGGCGTATACCGAACACCATTTTTCCCAAAAGGTGTTCGGCGAACCGAACAGTGTTCGGTTCGCCGAACGGCGGTGTTCGTGCAGGGGCGAACGCGAACACGTTCGTGTTCGCCCCTTGCTCACCCGGGCAGTGCCCGGGCATGCTCCTTTTTCAGCGTCTCACATGCCCCATAGAAGCGTCCTGCGTCGAAGACGTTGCATCTGGACGCAAGCGTCCTAGACGCAGGACGCGTCTTTTGCAACATAGATTTGTGATGCCAAACGCCTCAAAAGGCCTCCGTTGAAGCTGTGAATATGATAAACCCTGGATCACAGCGGGCAGCTCCAGCTATCGAATCAGGCCTGCCAAAAGCTTCAACCTGCAGGGTGTATTTTACAAACTCTATAAACACAGATCTATAAAACAGGGTTTAGTAATCATTGCAAAGGGTCATATCATGTTATACATATCATAACATACCATAGCATGTCATATCATATCATAGCATGTCATATCACATTTTCAGTCACCACCATGCCTCCCGCACCACCACCATGCTTGCAGCACTACCACCATGTCACGGGCATGCTTACAACGGGAGGCTCCAGCTGGCGGCCATCAGCCTGCATCATCCTGGGCTGGATGTGCATTCCAAACGCCTCCAGATGAGGGTTGTTCGCCAGACCCGCTGCTCCCACCGCCTGCCATGTGCCATGCCATGCCATGCCATGGTATGCCATGCCATGGTATGCCATGTAACCATGCCATGCAATGTCACGTCACCATGCCATGCCATGCATTGCCATCCCATGTCAGTCCAAGTCACCAGCCATGTTGTGCCATGTCAACATAGCATGCCGTGAGATGCCATGACAAGCCATGCAAGAACAACAGGAGAGAGGTTGTACCATTTGAGAATGGGGCGAGCATGACAAACATGAGGGGCGAAGACACGTCAATTGGGGCAAAGGCAAGGTGCACAGAGAAAGGAGGCAAGGGGCAAAGAGAAAAGATGCAAGGGGCAGAGAGAAAAGAGGCAAAGGGTGTAGAGAAAAGAAGCACAGAGCGAGGGATAGAGAGGCAAGAGGGCAGGAGCAGTGGGAGAGTGATTCAGATTTCGTGGCACCCACGTTGGAGATATCGTCGCGGCGCTTGTCGGGCTTGAGGCGCAGATTGCCGATGGCTGCCACCTGCTGCGGTGTCAGCTGGCGCAGATACCTCTGTGCGTCCACCACGCTGCATAGCTAGTGGTGGGAGGGGGTGGGAAGGGAGGGAGAGAGACACACACAGAGGTAAGAGACAGAGACAGACAATAAAAATTCATGGGTTACAGGTGTCAGCTGGCGCAGGTACCTCTGTGCGTCCACCACGCACACACACACACACCCACGCACGCATGCTCGCACGCACGCACGCTCGCACACGCACGCGGGCACGCGCGCGCGCGCGCGCGCGCACACACACACACACACAGAGGGAGAGGGAGAGAGATAGCTTGCACAGGTATCAGCTGGCACCGATAGCTGGCACCGTTAGCTGGCACCTGCTGGGATCAGCACGGCCTGTTGGGCCGAGTAGAGGCGGAGATGCAAGGCAGGAGGGGGAAGTGTAGAGTGGTGCCGTGCTGCCACTGGCAGTAGCCTGTTGCACTCTACCAATCTCTACCGCACTCAACTCTGCTGCCTCACCTTGAGCGGGACCCAGCAGGGCCTATTCGGCCGATGAGAGGCGGAGAAACAGGGCAGGTGGGGGAAGCGCAGGGAGATGCTAAGCTGCTGTCGGCCGTAGCATGTCGCACTCTGCCCAACTCTACCACTCTCTACCACACTCAACTCTGCTGCCTCACCTCGAGCGGAATCCAGCAGGGCTTGTTCGGCCGGTTGGACGCAGAAATGCAGGGCAGGTTGGGGAAGCGCAGGGTGATGTCGTGCTGTCGCTTATAATACTCTGCCACGCTCTGGCTCTCATTGTTATTGCGCCGATTGTTGAACCTGTCAGTGTAAGTCGGGGGTGGGTGGGAGGTACGGAATCATTTGAAGACGAGAGCCTCACCATGGCTTGGGAGTATTCCATGGCAGCAGCAGAATCTCATGTGCTGGCTGGCTGGCGGTATTCTGCCATGTTGACGATCTCATCTTTGTTAGTAAACTACTTGGCGGAATCAGTTTATTGTTTCTGGGACGTTTCAAATACACTCTTGTATCACGTGGCAAGCTATTCAATGGCAAAATTTGCTGGCAGCATTCTGCCAGCCTGGCAGTGCCTGGATGAGGCTCTCGTTGCTGTTTATTGATTCCTTGGCTGATCTGAATCACCTGAAAGTGCAGGACCACCTGAAAGTGCAGGACCACCTGAAAGTGCAGGACCACCTGAAAGTGCAGGACCACCTGAAAGTGCAGGACTACCTGAAGTTTGTCATGCTTACAGCAACCCTCGTGTGTTTGTGTATGCGTGTGTGTAACCAATGACGTTTCAATATAAGGACCATTCAGATCACCTGTCACAAAATATTTTGGTAAGTTGCAGCATATTCCGTTCAATGCTAATTGAGGTGTAGAAGGTGTAATTTGTGTTATGCAGCTTTAGCAAGTGGTAGTTGAGATTCCGGGAGTGACGCGAAGTTGGTAACATTGGAGGGAGCGCACAAGAGAAGAGTTCGAGGACTCTTGGGGGCAGGAAATCTGCGGAGGCCAACCAGCATGCAGGCGACTCGAGCCCAACCCAATTCGTCAAGACAGTCACGAGGAGGGAAGGAAGCTTAAGTAACCTAGGCTTGCATAAAGATCCTGTTCTCTCGTTTGGCTGAGGCAGGAAAGGACTGAGTGAGGGCAGTGAGGGAAGGAAAGGGGATTGGAAAAGGGACAGGAGTGGAACAAGGAGAGTGCAGGAGACATGACCACGCAGTGCTGGCAAGGAGGAATGAGTTTCCGACACACCTGAGGTCAGCAGCCCCCTCGCGTGTGAGGTCATACACCTTGTGCTTCTGCCCGCATTGCAATGATTTTTTAGGCGCCTCAAAAGGTAGAAAAGCCACCTGAGGTCAGCAGCCCCCTCGCATGTGAGATCATACACCTTGTGATTCTGCCGGCTAGGCCTTCCCTCCACCCTCAGTGACTTTTGAGTCGACTCAAAGGTGACCTCAAAATCATCACCTAAGGGAGGAGTAATATCACCTGAGGTCAGCAGCCCCATCGCGTGTGAGGTCATACACCTTGTGCTTCTGCCCGCTAGGCCTTCCCTCCACCCGCAGGTTCCTGAGGATACCCTTCAGCTGCCATAGGGAGAGGGGAAGGTGAGAGAGCAGAGGCAAAAGCAAGGCGCGGAAGGGGTTTGAGGGGAGGAAAGAAAGAAGCACCTTGTGCTTCTGCCTGATAGGCCTTCCCTTCCCTCCACCCGCAGGTTCCTGAGGATACCCTACCTTTCACTTCACCTGCGATCGGGAGCGACTGAAAGGGGGAGAGAACAGCAGTTATTGGGGCAGTCGACACGACAGTACCTTGTAGACCTGCGTACTCGCTCGGTCCCTCAGGTTCCTCGGAGTGCCCTTCAGCTGTGGATGGGAGTGATGGCGGGGGAAGGCAATGGCAGGAGGTGGGGGGAGGGAGGAGAAGGAGGGTCGTGCGGGGGGATGAAAAGTGCGTTGTGCTTCTGAACAGTGGGCCTAGCCTAGCCTCCACCCGCAGGTTCCGCAGAATTCTCTTCAGCTGCGATCGGGAGAGGTGGAGCAGCAGGGGTAGTTTAACTTGGAAAATACCGTACGTGCGGGTCTACTCGCTGGGCTTTCCCTCCACCCTCAGGTTCCTCAGAATGCTCTTCAGCTGCAATGGGGAGAGGCGGAGCAGGGAGGGAGCAGGGGCCGTTTGGGGAAGCACCGTGTGTGTGCCCCTGTCCCCTCGGACTTAAATTGATCATGGAATGTCTTTGAAGGCGCCTCGGAAACTAAGCGGTACGGTACCTGGATCACTTCTTTTGAGGCGCCTCAAAAGAGCAGCAAAAGAGCACGGGAGATGACGCACCTTGGTTGGACAGACAGGCAGGCAGAGAGGCACACAGAAACACAGGCAGGCAAGGAGGCGGACAGGCAGAGAGGGGGACAGGCAAAGAGGCGGACAGGCAGAGAGGGGGACAGGCAAAGAGGCGGACAGGCAGAGAGGGGGACAGGCAAGGAGGCGGACAGGCAGAGAGGGGGACAGGCAAAGAGGCGGACAGGCAGAGAGGGGGACAGGCAAAGAGGCGGACAGGCAGAGAGGGGGACAGGCAAAGAGGCGGACAGGCAGAGAGGGGGACAGGCAAGGAGGCGGACAGGCAGAGAGGGGGACAGGCAAAGAGGCGGACAGGCAGAGAGGGGGACAGGCAAAGAGGCGGACAGGCAGAGAGGGGGACAGGCAAAGAGGCGGACAGGCAGAGAGGGGGACAGGCAAGGAGGCGGACAGGCAGAGAGGGGGACAGGCAAAGAGGCGGACAGGCAGAGAGGGGGACAGGCAAAGAGGCGGACAGGCAGAGAGGGGGACAGGCAAAGAGGCGGACAGGCAAAGAGGCGGACAGGCGAAGAGTCGGACAGGCAGAGAGGCGGACAGGCAGAGAGGCGGACAGGCAAAGTGGCGGACAGGCGAAGAGGCGGACAGGCAGAGAGGCGGACAGGCAGAGAGGCGGACAGGCAAAGAGGCGGACAGGCGAAGAGGCGGACAGGCAGAGAGGCGGACAGGCAGAGAGGCGGACAGGCAGAGAGGCGGACAGGCAGAGAGGCAGTGAGGCAGTACCCGGATCCTTTCAGCATCGGGACGGTTGGGCGGGTTGCGGTTGAGGAGATGCCCTTGTGTTTGTGCAGCGCATCCAACAAACAGAAACATGCACATGCAGGATGGGGTGCACCATCATGCACACACACACACGAGCAGTAGCATGAAGCCCCATCCATGCATAGCACAGGCATTACCCTGATCCGTTCGGCGTCGGTCAGGTGGTTGGCCGGGTTGCGGTTGAGGAGATGTCCCAGCAGGTCCAACACAGGGATGGGCTGCACCATGCACGCCGTCACGATGTCTGTGGAATGAATGGGAGAATAAGAGGAGTGGAGCGTGCGAGTCAAATGCAGAGGGGTCACACAGGGAGCAGGTCCAGCACAGGGAGCAGGTCCAGCACAGGGAGCAGGTCCAGCACAGGGATGGGCTGCTGCACCATGCACGCCGTCACGACGCCTGTGGGATGATGCGAGTGCAGGGGAGAATGGGAGGTGGAGGAATGGGGGGGCAGCGGTTGGGTGGGTCGTGGTTGAGAAGGGACTTGAGAAGGCCCATCACAGGATGGGCCGCTGCACCATGCACGCTGTCACGACGTCTGTGGGATGATGTGAGTGCACGGGCGGGGGGAAGGAGTAGGACTGTCATTCACAGGGTCACACACACACGAGCGGGGGGGGAGGAGTGAACCTCACTTCCCTCGAGGGGCGGGAGGTCCGTCTGACACAGGAATGGACTGCTGCACCATGCACACTGTCACGACGTCTGTGAGAAGGTGAGATGCATGGGAGGGGAGAATGGGAGGGGGAGGGGAAGGGAGAGGAGGGGAAGGAGGAAGTAAGCCCTCAAAGGAGGTCCCATCACGGGGATCGGATTCGTTTGCTGCACCGTGGATGTGCGTGTATGGTGAGACTGACTGACATGCATGCACGCAGGAGGAAGAAAGCCCTCGAAGGACTCATTTTGTCTGACATTCACGCAGCACAGCATGCACCCAGGCAAGCACACAGCACAGCACGCACCCAGGTTGAGCGCCAGTGCGTTGTGGATGGGTCTGAAGCTGACATTGAAGCCAGTCCATGCCTCAATGCCACCTGGGAGAGGGGCCACGCGGCCAAAGTTCCGGTCAAAGAACTTGTCTTTCACCAGGAGGAAGCTGCAGGAGAGGGATAGAAAACGCGTGGGAGCAGAGGGGGCAATGGGTGTGCAAGTGTTGAGTGTTGAGACAAAGCAGGGGCCACGCGGTTAATCTTCTTGTCAAAGAACTTGTCCTTGACCAGAAGGAAGCTGCAGGAGGGAAGGACAGATAGAGCATGGGAGCAGGGGGGGGGCGATGGTTGTGCGAGTGTTGAGAGAATACCAGTGCCGCATTGCCAAAGCTGCGGTCGAAAAACTTGTCCTTGACCAGGAGGAAGCTGCAGGAGAGGGGATAGAGCATGGGAGTAGAGAGGGGCGATGGTTGTGTGAGTGTTGAGTGAATGCAGGTGCTGCATTGCCAAAGCTGCAATCGAAAAAATTGTCTGACCAGGAGGAAGTTGCAGGAGGGGAGGATAGAGCATGGGAGCATAAGGGGTGTGAGTGTCGAGACAATGCCGGTGTTCCATTGCCAAAGACAGGAGGGAGAGTACAGTCTCGGTGGCAGGACTCCATGTTGCAGAAACTGATGTCTGGATTGGATGTACGAAAATAAGGAGTTTGTTTGCTTGTGGGCCGTTCTTATGGGGTGTGTGTGATGAGATGGGCGTGCACACTGTTGGGCAGCATAGTCCCTGAGCTTGGCGTCCCGGAGAATTCTCAAAACTCACACCAGCATAGTCCCGTCCCGGAGCTTGACGTCCAGAGCGCGGAGGGCGTGCGGAGCGAAGAATTCAACCACAGGTGGAGCAGAGAGGGCACAGAGAGCAGAGAGGGCGCAGAGAGCAGAGAGGGCGTACCGCTGGGCAGCGTAGTCGCGCAGCTTCACATCGAGAGCGCGGAGGGCGTCCGGGGCGAAGACAGGAGCAGAGGTGCCCGCTGGGGTGATGGCGGCCTTGATGGTCGAAAGATCAACCTCCGCCACCTGTGTGCGGGGGGTGGGGAAGGAGAGGGTTGGGGGGCAGAACACATGTGCATGGGGAAGAATGGAAGGGCTTGGAGTGTGAGAATTGAACCGATAACTTCATTAGGAATGATGAGGGTTTACATAGTTGGATCTAGGGAAGGGGGGGTTGGTTGGGTACCTAGCCAACATTATTGGCCCCCCACCAATAAGTTGGGTTGGAGAATTATTGGGGGGTCCCAATAATGTTGGCAAAAAGTGGGCCAACATTATTGGGGGGCCCAATAATCTCCCAACCCTTGGGGTCCAATAATTGGACCAAGGTTGGGTTCCAACCCCCAACTAGGGTTAACCCTAGTTTGTGCACCCAAACATAGTTTGGGTGCCTATCTCTATCCTAGGGTTTATAGGATCAATGCAGGATACAGAAGTGTAGTATAATCTAACATGGAGGGCATCCGGGGCAAAGACAGGAGCAGAGGTAGCCGCTGGGGTGATGGCCGCTTTGATGGCCGAGAGATCTACCTCCGCCACCTGTGTGCGTGTTGGGTTGGCGGTGGAGGGTTGGGGGGTAGAACGCGTGTGCATGGGGAAGCATGGAAGGGCTTGGAGGGCATCCGGGGCAGAGATAGGAGCAGAGGTGGCTGCTGGGGTGATGGCTGCCTTGATGGTTGAGTTGAGAGATCTACATCCGCCACCTGTGTGTGCGCGTGGGTGGGTAGTACATGCGTTCATGGGGAAGAAAGCAACAGGGGCCCGGGGATGTGAGGGGCGAAGACAGGGCCTGGGTGGCCGCTGGGGTAATGGTTGCCTTGATGGTTGAGAGATCTACCTCCGCGCCTCTGTGTGTGGGGTGGGAAAGGGGAGCGGGTGAGAGTGTAAGGTAAGAACAAGGGAGAGGGGGGGTAGAGGCGGCCGCTGGGGTGTTGGGTTGGCTGACTTTAAATCCGCAAGAGATACCTCCGCCACCCCCACACACCCCCACCCACCCACCCACCCACCCACACAGCCACAAAGCCACCTGCGAGAGGGTGATATGCAGCTCATCATCCTTCACTCGCAGTGCGGTGGTCCACCTTCCTTGCTTGCCGTGCCGTCTTCATGCCGTCTCCCCCTCATCCTCCTCTCGCAACGAAGTTGGTGGGAACACAAGCACCCACCCAACCCGACCACCCACCCACCCACCTAAGCCTGTAAAAGAATATTCGGTATTCGAGAACTATTCGATATTCGTTCAAATATCTGAATTCGAGAGAATAAGAAACTACCGTGTATTCGAAAATATTCGCATCACGGGTATTCATGAATGTAGAATATTCGTGTAACGAATATTCGAGGTATTCGTTACTATTCGGTATTCTACCATTAACCCCCCCTCATACTTTCCCTATATCCGGCTATCATCTGAGAGGCTTGCTGAGAGCCTTGCAATAAAGTAGCTGGAGAGGGGTTAGGGAAAGCGCGTGGTGTGAGATTGAGTCGTGGTGTTGGTAGTGTAAGGTACATTGTATCACCCTGTGTCGAACGTGCATTAGCCGTTCGACACTGCTTCTACAAGGTTTATTATTCGACACTTAATCGTATTCGATTCGGCAGTATTCGAATCGTATTCGTATTCAGTTTTGGGCCAATATTCGAATCGTATTCGTATTCGGTTTTGGGTCAGTATTCGGTCAAATAAGAAACCGCACAGTATTCGGAGAATATTCAGAAAAAATATTCGTATTCGTATTCGTATTCGTTTTTACAGGCTTACACCCACCACCTGCGTGAGGGTGATATTACCCACCCAACTCTTGCGCAACAGAGCCCAACACACCCGCACACCCACCCACACACCCACCTACCCACCCACACACCCACCTACCCACCCACACACCCACCAACCCAACCACCCACCCACCTGCGTGAGGGTGGGTTCCACCTCACCCGTGGCGGCCTCGACTCTTCCTTGCGCGGCCGCTTCAGAGCCGCCTCCCCATCATCTCCTCTCACCAGAGCCCCGTGACAACACACCCACCAACCCGACCACCCACCCACCTGTTTGAGGGTGATTTCCACCTCATCCTTCACTCGCGGCTTCTCCCCTTCCCTCCGCACCTTCTCAATACCACCTCTCCACCCCGCTCTTGCAACAGAGCCCCATAGTAACACACTCACCCATTCATCCATCCACCCACCTGTGTGAGGGTGATTTCCAACTCATCCTTCACTCTTGGCGGCCTCGACTCGTCCCTGCGCGGCCTCTTCAAAGCCGCCTCCCCGTCATCTCCTCGCGTTGCTGGCGGGGGTCTGCACAGTGGATGGCAAAGAGGGTGGGGGGAGGAGGAACAGACAGAATATAAAGTTGACTCAAAGACCATCTCCCTGACATTGCCATTTGGGAATCACATTTGAGAATTCTCAAATATGAGAATTCTCAAAAGTTGACTCAAAGACCATCTCCCTGACATTGCCATTTGCGTGGGAATCACTTTTGAGAATTCTCAAAAGTGAGAATTCTCAAAAGTTGACTCAAAGACCATCTCCCTGACATTGCCATTTGGGAATCACTTTTGAGAATTCTCAAATATGAGAATTCTCAAAAGTTGACTCAAAGACCATCTCCCTGACATTGCCATTTGCGTGGGAATCACTTTTGAGAATTCTCAAAAGTGAGAATTCTCAAAAGTTGACTCAAAGACCATCTCCCTGACATTGCCATTTGGGAATCACTTTTGAGAATTCTCAAATATGAGAATTCTCAAAAGTTGACTCAAAGACCATCTCCCTGACATTGCCATTTGCGTGGGAATCACTTTTGAGAATTCTCAAAAGTGAGAATTCTCAAAAGTTGACTCAAAGACCATCTCCCTGACATTGCCATTTGCGTGGGAATCACTTTTGAGAATTCTCAAATATGAGAATTCTCAAAAGTTGACTCAAAGACCATCTCCCTGACATTGCCATTTGCGTGGGAATCACTTTTGAGAATTCTCAAAAGTGAGAATTCTCAAAAGTTGACTCAACGACCATCTCCCTGACATCGCCATTTGCGAATCACTTTTGAGAATTCTCAAAAGTGAGAATTCTCAAAAGTTGACTCAAAGACCATCTCCCTGACATCGCCTCGCCTCACGCTGCTTGTGCAGACCCTCTGGCCAGGACCCGGGCCCAGTTCTCGATATAACGTGCTGCAAGATCAGCACATTAGAATGTAATCTTCGAGTGGCACAGCAAGGAAAGGAGGGCCCTCCTCTCTTCCCCTAACATCCTTCCCCTCTCCACACAGATGCACAGAACTCAACGCTCGTCCTCAATTACAATGTGGAACGCATTGGGCGACAGGGTGTTGAGCTGACGCAGGGCAACGAAACATGCACACATCCATAGATCTCAACGCTCGTCCTTAATTACAATGTGGAACGCCTTGGCCCTTGGGCGACTGGGTGTTGAGCTGACGCAGAGCAACAAAGCTCCCCCCACCGCTCTCTCTACCTGTTCTTCCCCCAAACCCCGTCCCCCACCCACACACGTGCACACAATCCATAGCACTCACCGCCCGTCCTTGATTACAAAGTGGAACGCCTGGGGCGATTGAATCTTTGAGCGCGCGCGCGCAGGGCAAAGAGGGCGCGCGCAGGGCAAAGAGGGCGCTCTGGTTCTGGCCGTCGTATGCGAGCAGCGAGAGAGTGGCCTGGGAGAAAGGGCCGACTCAAAAGTCACCTCTAGGGGAAATACGTGTAGGTGCTGGTCGTACATGGTGCTCTACGACGTGTCGTACATGGTGTTCATGCACGCACGTGTCAAACAGCACTCACCGCTCGTCCACAATAATGAAAGGGAACGCCTGTGGCGACGGGATGTTGAGCGCGCGCGCGCAGGGCAAAGAGTCTCCCAACCCAACACCCGCTTCGCCCTCAACCCTCTTCCCCTTCCCCACACACACAGACGCACAGCACGCACCGCTCGTCCATAATCTTGATAGGGAACGCCTTGGGCGACGGGATGTTGAGCGCGCGCAGGGCAAAGAGGGTGTTCTGGCCGTCGTACGCCAGTTGCTTGAGAGTGTCCTCGGGGAAGGTCTCAGGGTGCTGGTCGTACATGGCTTTCAGCATGGCTCGGCGCACCACCATGCTGCGCACATCCTTGGAGAAGCGCACCTGTAAGGGGGAAGGCGGGGGAGAGGGGAGGCGGGGGGAGAGCCTGAGAGAGGCGATGAGAGTCGTTGATAGCAGAGGGAGGGTGTCCTGGGGGAAGGCCGCCCGGTGCTGGTCGTATATGGCCTTCATCATAGCTCGACGCACCACCATGCCACGCACATCCTTGGAAAACCGCACCTGGGGTTGCGGAGGAGAGGGGGAAGGGGGTAGGTGCGGGCGGAAGGTGGGGGGAAAAGGGGGAAGATGGGAGGAAGGTGGGTGGGGAAGAGATGTGGAAAGGGGAAGGAGGTGGGGGAGGAGAGAGTGGATGCGGCATGTTCTGCATCATCAATCGCCAGATAATGTGTTCAGAAATCCCTTCGAAAATGCGCCTGGTGATAGGGTAATGGGAGAAAGGCAGTAGCAACGCGAAAAAATTTAAGGGCAAACCAGGGCCAGGTGAACGAAGAGAACGGGAATCAGCAGCACAAGGCCTACGGAAATTCGAAAGTGAGATGGGAGCGAGACGGAAAAGGGTAAGGCACAAAGGGGACAATAAACAGAAAATGAAGAAAATGGATAAGATGGACAAACGACGCCGCGAATCAGGGATGCGACGCGGAATAGGCTGCTCCAAGTAATTCTTTTCGTTACCTCAAGTCATTGTCTCCCAGCGGCAGTCAGGAAGGACGCATGAAAAAAACGAATTCATACGACAATAAACTGCCCCCCCAAAAAAAGAAGAGGACGACGAGATGCTGCAAGCGAAGTGTTACCCACATCGTAGTGGACGAGAGGCGAGGAGGGGATGCGCAGATCCAACTTGAAGAAATTTACCAGAACCTTCACCGGCCGACCCAGCGTGCCGTATTTGGCGTTCGTGGGCCGGCCAATGAGCTCCATCGGCTGAACGTCCGGAGCAGCAGCAGCAACAGCAGGAATGAGAGCCGTGTTGCTCGGCCCGGCTACCGGCTGCTGCTCGGAAGCCTGGCTTGAACCGCCTGGCGTTGACGTAGACGGTCCCGGGCCTCCAGACGAGCTCATGTTGAATTTCGAAGATTACACTACGGAAATTGATATAATCCGAGACGAATTCGCGAATATAAGAGCTCTGTAGACTCCCCTATCTGTGTGGAACAGCAAAGCCACCCTGAATTTGTTGCCGCGGATTGCTCAATGAAGCAATGGCTGAGCAGGAGCGGTTTCGGCGGAGGGGGGATGATTTCAGCGGAGATTCAAAAAACGAGCTATGTGGGGCTGTTGGAGGGTGTTCAGTTCGGTAAGTTGTGTGAGGTATCAGTCTGTTCTTAGTGCGGTACGGTCGAACTCCTCGTGGGGGCTTGCATTTTCGGCGCTGGATTCCTATCCCACCAGCGCGATGGGCGAGGCGCAACTTCCATCTCTGATTGTACTTCGCGCTGTAACTCCTGCTGGGAACGCGGAGTAGAAGTCATGAAAAGAGTGTACAGGAAGACTGATCATGAGAGATTTGTACGTGACATCACGCTCACAGGTTCGTTAGAATCAGCCTACGGTATCTGAATACCACACGCCCCAGTGGCCAACGTTGTATAACCTTCACAATCTAGCTTCCTTTTATTAGCAAGGCCTTCTCGTTTCCGTGTGGACGACTATTGTAACTTCTCAAAACCACAAGAAACATGTCACTAAAAATGGGGGCACATTGGACAGGCAAAACGCATCTTTAGCACTTGACCTCCTTCAGACCATCCTTGAAATAGATGAAGGTGGGGTTGGCAGAGCCATCCTTGTAGTAAGCATAGGCGATCGAGCCTTCCAAGTTCATGCTCTCACCAACAAAGCTGCACCAAACAATCAAGCAACACATTAGAAATTGGAGGGGAATAAGTTGAGAAGAGCGAGCTGATGACTATAAGGTTAAGGGGGGAGTGGGAAAGGGACGAGCTGAGGGAATCGGAGAAGTTTCAGGCTAAAAAACGTACAACTGCAGGTCAGCGAGCTTGGACATGAGCCACTTGACAGCGGCGGGTGAGTCCGCCCTGAATTGCTGCCCCCTCTCAGCCGGAATCAGGCCAGCGAGCTTCTGGACGTAAACCTTCAGGTAAGCGGCGAACGCCTTCTTGTCGAACGCTGGTTGCTCCTGCACTTAAAAACGCATTGAGATGCGGATGCAGCGGATAGCGTCAGCTACCCAAAAATTGTGTAGACGAAGGTGACGATGTCAAGTACATGAAACATTAACCCTAAATGGCTTAACCCTAAACGGCGTTATCCTAAATCCTTGAATTGCCAACCGGTCCTGTTGACGTGCCTGTAGTCTGAAGGTGTCGACGATATCCACAACCTTCTCGGACTGCTCCTCCACAGCCTCCTCCTCGCCACCCTCAGCAGAGGGGTTGGCTCCGATGTCCACCTCAATACCACCCTTCACCACCCACTGCACAATCATCCAGACGACGACCACAAGTTAGAGACAAGCGACCAGCGGGTGCTGTAAAAAAGTATATTTTTGATTCAGATCGCACCTTCCCCTCGACTTCATAGAAGATGCCATTGTGGATCTCCTTGGCCTCAAAGGAGTCGGACAGCAGCTCGTCACCTAATGATCGGCGCATTAGACATTGAGGAAAATCGAATAGTCATATTATGAAGAAAAGAAACCGTGTATCTGTTAATTGGACAACCGATATTTACGACGTACCAGAGATCAGATCCTGATAGACCAACATGGCTGCTGACGGAAGTGCGTGTAAAGACGGCGGGTTCTAAGGACGACCAAAGGTGCTAGGTGCTGAAAGCCCTAAGCCGCTGCAGGCAGAGAGCGTAAAAAAAGGTGGAAAATATGGCGGTTGGACCTAGATCAACCCTAAGGGGGATGGTAGACACGGAAAGTGCCGAGCCGAGCAATCAGCGACAAGAAAAGAATATTCCTGTTACATGGTTGGACAAAGTAAAGGTTACCTTATGATGTGCAAATGGAGTTAAGTGAATGTATGTATAAGTTCCTCATTTTTTATTTCGGAACCTTATATCTCAAGCAATTCTTATCTAATCGATCAAAACATAACAAAACCTGAATAAAATGTGATCATTACTTAGAAAACTTCAAAGGTTGTACGCAATGTCGGAATGTTCTATTTTTATACGCAAAAGTGGCAGGAGAAGTACTCGAGGCTAGAGGTTGGAAGACCGTCTCCATTACAGAGCTTTTCGAAAATCCCTACGCATGTGTACACAACCATCTTGATGAGCTGGTACCGTACTCTCCCTTCAAGAATTGTTGAAAATACAGCAAATGAGTAGGTTATACTAACTTTGTGCATGCTTGAAGATTGTGCTACAAGAACAACGCTCCATACCGCATCAGCCAATGTGCTGGCAAATTTTCCGCGTTACTGTTTACTTTTCCCACGCTTCGACTGACGCGTCAAGTTTCGTCTCCCATTTTCAACACCCTTTCAGTGAAGGTGTACAATCGAACCTCAGCGTACGGCATGAGAGCTTCCAAACCAACAAAACTAACCTACACCTGATGCCCACCCCATGCACGCGAATTTGCTCTGCACCGGATGGAAACGCTGCACCCGAGGTTTTTTCCCCAGCCTGTTACAAGCGCGTCGCGTGGTTATGAACCAATAGTAACGAACAGACCGAAGTCAAACTGAAGAGACTGAAGTCAAAATGTCAACGGATAAGGTTACAGATCCTTTATATAAGCACCTGCGAGTCCTTTTTAGCTAGCTGCGAATTGACGAAACTTATGTGAAATGCCGAATACAGCTTATACGCCCCCTTCACAAGGCAACCGGGAGGGGCTTAATCAGGCATCAGGTGTACCAAGTCCAGAGAAAATTCCAGATCCAGGCCCAAAGCCCAAGTTTCCAGTTTGACTCGAGCCTCCCATTTCCCTCATAAAAAAAGCTCATAATAGTTTGACCTTGATATAAATGGTCAGCGACTTGCCTTTCATTTCACACACCAGTACCTCACATTCCATCCTAAACTTTCTCAACCACTAGAATAGAAACCAGCAGCAGCAAGGAAACTATCTCTTGATTATTTTTATCGTCTGTAAGCACGACACCAGTCATGGCAGTCAGAGTTCTCGTCCTCGCGTGCGTGCTCCTCCTCTTGTCGACGTCCGCCTTGGCGCAGCGTGGTCCGCCTGGCGGAGGTCCTCCCAGCGGTCAGCGCGGAGGCCCTGGCGGCGTACCCGACGGTCGCGGCGGACCCGGCGGTCGCGGCGGACCCGGCGGTCACGGTGGGCCTGGCGGGCAATGCGCACCGCGCAGTCCTCCGCTGAACCTGACGGCCGTTGGGAATCTGACGGCCGATATCGGCGCGCAACTCGCCAATTCCACCGCGGACTAGGCGATTCTGAACGGCAGCTTCCACCTCGCCGTCTTCAAGAACTCCACCGGAAACTACAACCTGCTGGTTGAAGCTCTACTTGTCGACGCGGCGGGCGGTCCGCCCGACTCGCTGGCGATCGTGAAGGGCGCCGTGTGCGACGCCGCCACGACGGACGTGCTCGCGCTGCCGCTCGCCGCAGCGGACTGGCAGTAGCGCGCAGGATGGTGGCTGCTGCACGCGGAGGCGCGCCTCGACGCGTTCCTCGAGAACGCGGACGCCGCCATCCTCGACGCGCTGCTCGCCGTGCTCCCCACCGCTTCGCTTCCACCTACCAACGGCGGCGGGCGCAACGGCGGAGGCAGCGCCAGCGGAGGCAGCGCGGGGGGCACGCGGAACGGGCAGGGCGGGAGGCGCATGGGGCGGGAGCTGCTGATGCGCGCATTCGGCCGCGCTGCCAGGCAGTGTGGACAGAAGCAGGGGGGGCAGCAGCAGCAGGGGGGGGTGCAGAAGGCGCCTGCAGCGAGCGGGTATGTTGTGCTGGCGGGCAGCAGCGCAGCAGGTGTGACGTGGGACGGGCAGCTCATGGGCGCCAAGGCGCCAGCCGCTACTGTTTAATGCTCCGCTGCCCTGCTGCTGCTGCTACTGCCAGCGTTGGCAGTTGGAACCAAACCTGTTGCACGCAGCAG